GACGAGTGGGGAAAGAAGAGCAGGGGAGAGAGGGGCCCTGCTCTCATCCTCACTGCCCCCACCCCTTCCCCCCCAATGCCTTCCGCCCACTCTCCCCCCACCACACACAGCAACAGGAGGTTCTAGCTGGGAATCCGCTGATAGAAGTAGATGTAGCCCAGGTCCTTGGGGGGCTTCTCAGAAGCACAGACTTTCTGGTCGTTGTAGATCACCCACCTGCAACAGGCAAAAGGGGAGCTCAGGGATGCCACACTGTGGCTAAGACACAACTCGATGCCCCTCGCTCGCTCTCATCCCCAGCACTCGAAGACCTCTCAAGAAATAGGGCAGGACAGCGATGAGTTAAAGGTATACCTCAGAGCCCCCTTACGCTGCGAAAATTCCTTACCTGCCATCTTTCTTGATGTGACAAACATAATGTCCACACATAGTTGAAGTGCCCATGTGGCTGATGAAGGCAAACAGCTGATATTCTTGAGTGGAGGAGGAGGAAAGAGAGAAGTGATCAGAGAAAGAAAGGCATCTTACCCCAAAACACCCTGGACTAGGCACTCTTTAGAAAAGGAAGCTCTGCTGAGTAATAATAAAGTGGGTCTCAGTCAAGTATGACTCTGAGGATTTGGTCTGAAGGCCAAATGTGCATGGGAACAGACACTAACTGTCACTTAGCCGTCTCTCTTCCAAAAGTTTTATTTGGCCCATGGGTGCCAGGTGGGTAACCACAGAACAGTTTTGGCTCGAAGAGAACTTCAGGATCGAGTCCAACCTTTGTCCTAGCCCTATCAACATCACTAAACCATGTCCCTCAGCACAACATCTACCCATCTCTTAAACACCTCCAGGGATGGTGACTCAACCACCTCCCTGGGCAGGCTGTTCCAATGCCTGATAACCCTCTCAGTAAAGAAATTCTTCCTGATACCTAACCTGAACCTCTCCTGGTGTAACACAGGGCCATTTCCCCTTGTCCTATCACTTGCCACTAGGGAGAACAGACCAACCCCCGCCTCACTACAACCTCCTTTCAGGTAGTTGTAGAGAGTGAAAAGGTCTCCCCTCAATCTCCTTTTGTCCAGGCTAAACAGCCCCAGATCCCTCAGCTGTTCCTCATAGGACATATGTTCCGAATCCTTTACCAGCTTGGTAGCCCTGCTTGAGATTCCCCCTCCCTATGGCACCCAGCAGCATTGGCACCAATTCTGCACAGAGACTAGAGCCTGTTTTTTCAATGCGAGCCTGAAGAACAGGAAAAACCTCCCAGGATGACCCGGAAAAATCACAGCCCTTCCTCTGCCTCTGCCTCTCTCTTACTGGCTTCCAGGTAATCCCCAACCCTGAAGTGTCTGGATCCTACTTTGCCATCCCTCTCCCTTTACTTCTTGCTTTCACCTCAATAACCAGACCAGCTCTGTAGCAGCTGCTGCTGCTAAAACCTGTGGTACTGCATGAATTAGGGAGGATAAAGCCATGTCGAGTTTGCACCCCAAAATCCACATTCCTATTGTTTGGAACTCACTTCCAGGCCCATCACGCACTTTAGGACCCACAGGGACAGATTCAGAGATGGAGTCAGCTGCTGAGCGCCCCTCTGAGATATCCATAGCTGCTTCTGCATCAAGGTCATCAATGTGACTGAAGATCCAATCCACAGCGCGCTCCAGACTATTGTTCTGGAAGGAAGAAGGGAAGACTGTGAACTCGGGAATGCCTGTTCCTGAGAATATCCTTTCACTCTGACATCGCTCATGCCTCTCACCGTGGCTCTGAGTGCTTTCATAGCCTGGTCCCGGGAAAAGCCCATGGAGACAATGGTGGCCACGCTGTCTTCTGAAGGAGGGTCTGGGCAGGCAATAGTTGACCCTGGTCCGCTGGATCCAGGGAGAACTAGCGGGTTAGCGAAGTCTGCAGCACAAAACAGAACGCAGCTCAGAGCAGTTAGATCTCTCCAGAAGGGGTACAGTCTCAGGTCCCAGCTACTCCAGTCTTCCACTGCAGTGGTGGGACGGGAAGTACCAGGGTCCAGATGCAATAAGCTTCACTGTGGTCTCATACCTGGATCATCCATATGTGACATGACCCAGTTCATGGCAGCCTCAACCCCACTGTTCCCTGTGTAATACACGGCTTTGCGGCAGGCATCCATGGGAAAGCCCATCTCCACCAGCTGGATAATCACTGACTCATCCAACATGGGTGCTGTGGGAAGACAGAGATTAGAGCCACCCACCCCCACCCAGCCCTGCCTGCTCCGGTTTGTGCCATGTCACGCAGCCCCCCCAAGCCACCACTTCCTGGCTTCATTTCACTCAAGTTCTGTCTCTCTGCTCTTCTCTTCCCTTGCTACCTTTTCTTCTTCAGAAGCGCAGTCTCACGCAGAGGAACAAAAGGAGTTAACGCACGAACTCGGGAGCGCTGGCTCTTCCCTGCCCTCCAAACCCTACCTCCCGCTGCGTTTTGTGAAAATAATATACCTCTGCTGGTTAAATCTTGTATAAACCCCTGCTCTGCCCCCTCTAAACACACTAGATGTGCCACCTCCCCATCTTCCACAGAACAGGAATCAACAAACTCCCTTGCGTAACACCCTTGCATAACAGGGATGCAAGAGAGGCAGCCCGCATTTGCTGACAGAGGGACAGGGAAAGTCTGAGGCAGGTGGAAACCGCTAGCATGGGAAACAAGACAAGGAGAGCAAGGAAATGAGTCAAGCATCAGGAAGAGAGGAGGAGAATCACTAACATGTCGGAGAGGAGAAGTGAGGGGAGCAGAAGGAGTCGTCGTCCTCGTTGCCATAGAACCCCAGGCTACCTTTGGGCTCGTCTGGTGTCACCAGTGGGGGTGCAATGTCTGGCATTTCCTCTTCCCCATCTTGCAGCCCTGTTCCCTGCAGCGCAGAGATATCCAGCTCCTCCGGCATTTCAATGGAGACATCTGCAAGACAGAGTCTCGCTCAGCCTCCCCATAGGGGCAGAAACAAAGGACTCAGTCTGGAGATCTAGAAGGGTAAGTCCCCAGGAATGCAATACGCTGCAGTCTGCAGCTTCTTCTGGGGTACAGCCAACACCACAACACCCAAATACGACTCAATACCTATACACTCTGTACTTCTCAGCCTTCTTACCCAGCTTTTTGGGCACCCAGTCCAGACCGAAAGTGAATTTCTTGATTTGGATCACCAGATAATCCGGGAAAGAGGCGAACCGTGTTGTTCTGGAAGAGATAAATAATACTATTAAACACTTGGGCCGGGGTGACTGAGTGCAAGCTGCTTCAAGAAATCAGTGAGTAGAGCAGAGGCGTGCCCTAAGGGAGGGATACATGTATCTGTGCAGGTCTCCTAGAAGCTCCTCAAATGCAGAACCACTTCTAAAGCAGACACTGACAAAAAGAGACGGAATGCAACATTTACAAAAATCTTGGGGGACAAGCAAAAATTGTACACGTTCTCTACCTTCCAATCCTGTATTTTACAAGCCTACTCAGATTTTAGTATTTAATTAAAAGCCTAACCCTTAAGGAATGTGGAAGAAATAAATCTTTTATTACACCGACAGATACAGGTGCAGGAACTGACAAGCTTTCAAGCGCAAGAGCACTTTTTCAGGTATGAAGCAGAAGCAGTGATTTTTAAGCTAACTGAATTTGATTGAACATTATTTAGTTACACAATTTGAGAGAGAGGGTGTCTGTAATCTATGAAAGAGAGAGGAATGTTTGTGAAGGGAGAAGCAGTAATAAGAAAGACAGATACTTATTATCAGGGGATAATTATAACATGCCATAAAATTAATTTAAGCAATGGTGTATATTCAATGCTAATTCTTACAAAGTATTTGAACACAGCTCACTACTTAAATTCAAAACAAAATGTTACTTTTCACCGTGATCCCGTTACTGACTGTTCATTTATAGGACCTATTGCTTAATAACAGAATATTTCTTAGAAAAACACTCCCAGTTCTTTGAGGACTACTCTTTCATTGCAAAAGAATGGTCAGTAGCATTTTAATTTTGTAATCTTGCTCCACTCGTGCACTGTTGCATGGGATGCAGGCAGTGAGATGAATTAAAGCTGTTTTTCAAGCCTTGCTATTAGTGTTTAAGTTAGCATTCTTTAAAATAACTCATGCATCTGTTACACTCAGTGTTTTGCTCAAACTTTAATGGCCCAACACTTCCTTCAAAAAATTTCAGAGACCATGCAAAACCAGTGTTGCCACACTGTCAGTACTGATTTTAAAGGTGAATTTTGAATTTAGAATGAAAGCTGCTGGTTTCCTAGAATATCACTGTAGTTTCCAAAAAATTCAGCAATTGAAATCTGGTAGTAAGGATTTCAGTGGCACTGCTGTTCTGTCCACTGTAATCCCTTGGGGGCAATCAGTCCAGCACCAACAAACTGGTTCCTCCTCTGCTTCAACGTTCCACAGGACCAGAGTGTGGAGGACTACAAAACTTCGGTAACACTTCTTCCCCAAGCAACTAAAAGAAGTCCCCAAAGATGCAGCTACCGCTAGTTCATCATAGCCTAGCTGGTAACTCACACACACTCACTTGAGAGCCACAGACTTGGCCTGCAAGGCTGTGCTCCAGAAATCATCCACCTGCTCCGGAGCTCCATAGGCCTCTAGGCAGGAGCTGAAAGGCACCTTGGCTCGCACCAGCTCAGGCATCCCTGCCGCTTCTTCTCCTCATATTCCAGTAGTTCATCTAGAGAATAAAGCAGAGGAGTCAAGGACCATCTCTACGCACCTACAAAGTAACTGGTGTAAGCTACACCCAGAGGCAGAGTAGGCCTACAGATAAACGCCATCAAGAGCAGAGCACAAAGAAGACGACGTCTTCCAGAGCTCTCCTTCTGCAGTCCTGTTCTGCTCTTGAGCCACAGCCCAGTTCGTGGTGTCAGAAGGAAAGGTTCTAGAGGGACAACTGGGACATGCCCTTTCTGAAGAGATCAGCCTGATACCACCAGGATGAAGGATCTATCTGGCTTGGATCTATCTGGCTTCAGAAGCGGCAAAGCCAGTCCTTGAGGAAGTCCCTTTCTCGTTTAAGGAGTTATGTAATAAAAGTACAATACCCAAACAAAAGGTTTGCTACTGGTCTGACCTCGGCACATTACTGACCTTTGTTGAGTGCAGCATCCATGGGCACAGGCAGCTGCATAATATAGTCCACACGCTGAGTGTATTTCACCTTTTCTGTGGCCAGGCACTTCAGCTTCTCCTCCACCAGAAAACGGAAGACCTCGTTAGGGTTCTCCGAGCTGCGACAGTTCCTCTGAAGAAGAAGAATTTAGAAGCACAGATGTAACATCAGAATGGCAGAAATAAACTTTCGCAGTAGCAGTGGTTCTACATGGGACATGGCTAAAGAGTATTCACTTCTGTACACAAGACTGGAAAAGCAAAGGGTAAACTAGAGTCAACCTCTCTACCCCAGGAACCCATGCCATTCTTGCTCCTAAACGCGATAATTTACATCTCCAGCTGTGTCATTCCCACATGAGATTCCTCCAAGGAATCAGCCCTGAAAACATGACCAAGTATCTCTCCTCCTCTGCTCCTGCAAGTGCTGGCTGGCCCATTTCCCTGTGGTCTCTCCCTCTCTCAGCAATGCATGCCAACTTCTCACCTCCACTCCTCAGCCCCTGCTGTGGGGAGAGAACAAATCTGGGCTTTTCCATTATCCGACAGAAACATTCAATCATTACCTCTACCATGTTGATGAAGTGCAGAAAGAATTCCTGGGCATCCTGCTGTCGGTTAGTGGAAAATTCTGGATGCCCCTTTCCAATGAGGGACTTAAACATGCGTGGAGCGATGCCATTTTGCATACCCTGCAAATAAAAAAGTGGAAGAAGAAGGTGGCTGTAATTTGCCAAGCACGTGTACTGGCATGTAGTACTCTACTCATAGCTGCGCTTTTCTTCACACGATGGAGCCTTGGAATGAGCCCCAGGTCATGTCTTCAGGACGGGTTCTCCCTCCTTCCCCATGTAACACACGCAATGCCTCACGCAACGTACACATCACGAGGATGCTGTACCCAAGTCTCACCTTCTGATCGGGCTGCTGATCCCCATCTGCAGAAGCTGGCTTTGAATATTCCCCAGAGAGCAGCCCATGGCCCAGTTTGGCTCTGGAATGATGAAGTCACTGTTAGCATCAAAATGGTTTCTTCAATCCTGCATACCCCAGGATGTCTGCCACAGACTGCCAATCTCCCGGAGAGGAGCTGCACCAGCCAAGATCATCTTATCTTGGTCTGTTCTCTGGTCCCATGAGACATCATTGACTCGAAAGTTACTAGGACTTTGGAGCATGAATCTCAAGCATTGCTTGCACATTAGGAAAAATACCAGGGAACAGCTTCCCTTTCCCCGCAGAAGGGCAGCTGGTGCTGAGCCACACAGCAGCTGCGTAGCACCCAAACTAAGCTGCAGCCTGACGTGGGTAAAGTACCAGTGTATCTGATTGACTGTGCAGGAGACAACAGGGTACAGCGAAATTGTCTGAGCCAGAAATAGCATTGCTGTGAGCAGATTGATCACGTTTCCCCATGGGAAATATTAAGAAAGACGGCACGAGGCGCTTAACGGACAACAAGAACGTTCAGCGATTTCCTCCAGTGCTTGGACTCTCCTACTATTCCAATTCACTCCAGTCCTTCCCTGACACTGTTGCCGTTTCACTGGAATCCAACCTTACTAATTCCTCCCTTTGCCCACGCAAAAATCTTTCTGGCTGTCTCAGCTTAATCCTCTCCTCAGTGAATACCTCACTCCAGGCTGTCCAAATTTAGAATCCTCCCTTACTGCTGAACTCCCTTCTACAAATGCCCCCTTCCATTCCTCCACTCCGAACTTCCATTACACCACTTTGCTGTTTCCAAGCAGGTGCAGCAGAGAATTGATGTATTTAAAATGCAACGCCCTCCTAAATCATGTGTTTCTTGTCCTGTATATACTCTGCTATTGCTCGCAAAATACCTCTTCCATGAAGCCTCTTTAAGCCTATATAAATTATCCACTGTGAATAAAGTTGCCCAAATCTACGTGCCTCTTTGCTCTCAGCCACCTCTCCTGGAGAGGGCAAGCACCTTTTGGTGTTACGCAGATAGAATACGACTCCCAAAAATCCCCCTGTGGTAACATACGGCACTGCGTTCCCCACATAGTATATTTAAAAGCCTCTCATGAACAAAGTGCATGCAATCTGTCCTCTCCATCTAGAGCACTCAGCTGAACTTTCTTGGTTTAAATACTTATTGATCACTGAGGATCAGTGTCTCCGGTGATGGACATGGAAACAGAGAGGCGAGGCTTGAGGGAGAAACCTGCAGCAAAGCACGCTGTAGCAACGCAGAGGGGACGCACCCAGGCAGCCTCAGCCTTCCTTCTCTCCCCAAAACTCTACGTACACTTGTGTGCTGAAGTCCTGTGTGGGGTCCGAAGGTGCGCTTTGGAATATCTTCTCCAGCTTGTCCACATATCTGCAAATAAGAATGGAGAAATCTAAGGCACATATGGGCTTCATCTAGTAAAAACACACTTCTGAGCCAGATTAATGTAACAGAAGCTCCCAGTTCTAGGAGACCTTTGTACCGGTCCAGGCTAATGGAAAGGAGTGATTAAGCTCACTTACTTTCTCTGGAAGTCTGGGATACTGAACAGCACCTGCATCACAGAATTGAGGTAGCAGCTGTTGCCCAAGTTACGGATACCGGTGTACCCAGGCCCATAGAGGGGCTTAAGCTGCACACCAGACTCCTGGATGAGCTCCCACTCCCCAATACGCTGGTTCATATCTATTTCCAGTTCTGTCATTGTCTTGTCTGTCTGTGGAGGGAAAGAACAGGAAAAATCCTCAAAGACTCAAGGGAACATTAGAGGTGTGAAAAGGCCAATGCTGTAGAGAAACATAAGGGTTCGAGTCCATTCTGTTTTATTAAATGAGAAGGAAAATACAAGAACTGTTTTCAAATGTCTGAATACCTGGGACAGAAGGAGGAATGATACAAAACATAGGAGAAATCTGGACCATCCCCTCTAAAGTGGCATGGAAATCACAAACTAACACTGAACCTAGGGAGCAAAGCTAAGAGCCTGGGCACCTCCCTGCCCACAGTACTGACACAGAATCCCAAGGAAATAAACCTGAGGGACAGGAAAGTGAGGCAAAAAGGCAATGAAAGAAGAGAGGCAGACAAAATAACTGCCTGACAAAAAAAACCCCACAGTGTTTCTTGACCAGGAATGGTTCTACACAGCCACAGAAAGCTGGGATCCAGCTGAGACACCTCAGAGCTGCTTCTCTCCCACTCTGGGCTTAAGAAGGGCCACCCCCTCACCTTCTGCATCTTGAGCATGTCAATCCCAAAGTGAGCAAGATGTTCTGCCAGGTTGGGATCCAACACCATGTCATCCTCATCATAGGAGTAGACATCTACGTGGGAACACAGTGGAAAAGGAGAGACTTTTAATGGCCTATGATTTAACATTCACTCCCGGATGAAAAGAAGTCTTCAGAACTGGGAGTTTTGACAAACTGAGCAGTTGGTGGCATCTCTCCTTTCTCAGGAGAGTAGCAAAACAGACAGAATATCGAGGTTCCTCCAAAACATGTGACAAGACAAACAATTTTGTCATTGATCAAGGTACAGAGGTACCTGTATGCTTGGAGTGAGGAAAAGTCGGTTACTGTGCTATCTGCTCAGGCTTTGGACACAAACCTGTTTGATAAAGGTCCCATCACAGAAAACAAGACAGCAACCTCAATAACTATTACAAACCCCTTCAAATTACAAGGAAGGTGAGGAGGAAGGCAAGGTTTACTAGCAGGTTTTTTGCCTACCACAAGAAGCAGGTCAGAGTGGGAAAGTTCCTGATAGGATGACACCAAATGTCCCAGGTCATAAGGTGGGCAACAACAGCCTGGAAATCGTTCCTTGACTTGTCAGAGACCCCAGTCAGCCTGAGTGGTGCCCAGCATCGATTACCCTCACAGGTAACCCCTTCTCACCAGCCCCATCAGGAGTAATTGTTCCCAGTTTCACAGCCAGGGGGTAGCCAGTTTCCCGGTAATGCTCGACTGCGTGATTGTTGCCACCGCTGCCATCGAAATAGCGCCGACCACAGAGGATGGCTCCATCGGTCATATTCAGCCACAAGTTCTCCCTCATGTCACATTTGCTGCACTTCCAGCCACTGTCAAAAACGGAGAAAAAGAGATCAGGGTGAAAACCTTTAGGCTTCACCTCCCAAGTTCTCTCCATTACTACCCAATTTCATTCCTCTTTTCCTTCAGAAATACCTTACTTTGTCATTTCTCTGGAACTGACTATGACAAGACACACTCAGAGACTTACAAACAAAAAAAAAAAGGTCTCATCTGTTGCTGCAGTACAGGACAGGAGAAGAAGGTGATAGGGGTGGGTCTGGAATGAAGAGTGATACTGTTCATTTCAGTACTATGCTCACCACGGTGGGATGCGGACATCATTCTGAAGTTGGTGCAGAGAAAAAGCGTGTTTGGAAACACGTCGAACCTCCCCATCCCAAGCTTGCACCTCCTGCTTCCGTGATGCTGAATCTGCCGTGAGGATGGCCTCGATCGCACTGGCAATCTGGAATTAGGAGAGAGGAAAGAAACATGAAGGGCAGAAGGAAAGAAGTTTCCAGTGCCACAGCACCCCACACATTTTGGCTCAGATTGGCAAGTCAGTTGTGCCAGGGCAGGATTCAGGAGCCTCATCCACAAGCCAGGTCTCCGTGACACAAAGCACCATGTAAGTGCAAAACAATTCTGCTTAACTGCAAGCTGAGACCTCATGGCAGCTCTACAGAATCCCTTTTCCAGGGCAGCGGTTCCTTTCCTGTAATGGTGGATTTCCTCCCTGCTAAGAGAAAACGCAGCTCTCCGTACAAACATACCCTGTCTTTGACCATGTCTGGTAGTCCCTCCAGCCCATCATGAGGAATATCCAAATGCTCTGGGAAAATCACTATTTTTACTTCTTCGTCATATTCAAACTTTTCCTCTGTGATGTCAAATCCACCTTCTACACCTACAGAAAGAAAAAAAACACTGCAGTAAGAGGTAAAGCTAAATAGAGGCAAAGCTCTAGATCAACGATGCACAATCTTCTTTCTATTTCCAGATCCCAGTTTTTGGTGGTGGGGAGCAAATTTAAGCCTAATGACAATACATTTACTTTTCCCAGCTCTTCTTACACATGCTTAGAAGGAATCTCCAGACCCTGACCACACCTAGAGAAAAGACCTGCTCTGGAGAGACACTGGCCAGAACAGAGCCATGATAAAGCACTGCTGTGCATCCTTCGCAGTACAGCCAAGATGGTGAATGGAGGTGTGCATGAAGAGGTCATATTCCAACCCAGTGCGAAGGTCAAGTCTACCAGCATCTTTAAGGAGCCTGCCGCTGCTTCTTGCCTCTTCCAGGAATGACAGTTCAGAGTCCTGAACTTAAGCAACGACAACCAGGAGCTCCTCTGGAACCATAACATCCAGAATGACAGAAAGTCTTGGGAAAGCCATAGTGCTAGTAGTTTCTGAGGCCTACCTAGCCATGCTTTCCAGAGGTTGCAAGAGAAATGGGAGTTCCACACATAAGAGGTTATTTGCCTGTTGTCAACAGTCATGATGGACAGTCATCAAAATGTAACATTTGCAGTGGAGGGAACAGTTTCTGATTTATGTAGGTAGTCAGGAAAAAACCTTGGCCTTGCCTGTTCCTCAAGCATCAGCGTCTTCAGAGAACCATAGAATGGTTTGGTTTGGAAGGGAGCGTAAAGATCACTCAGTTCCAAACCCCTGCCATGGCCAGGGACACTTCAGGTTGCTCAAAGCCCCATATGACCTGGCCTTGAACACTTCCAGGGAGCCACAACTCCTCTGTTCCAGTGCCTCACCACCCTCACAGTGCAGAAATTCTTTCTAATATCTGATCTAAATCTGCTTGGCTCCAGTTTAAAAACATTGCCCCTCATCCTGTTGCTACACGCCCTTGTAAACAGTCCCTTTGGAATTATAGGGATCTCACACGCCAGAAGGAAACAGAGTACAAGACACACTGCTTACCAGCAGCCTTAATCTACTATCATGTTTGTTTTTTAAACAGAATTTTCTTTTTCTTTAAAAACGGCATGTTGCAATGTTCTCAGTAACAGATCTCTGAAGGAAATACGAGTTTTTGCTGTTTAGTGCCTCTGCCTCAAGACTCCTGTGTGTGACACAGTTCTGATAACCATTACCGCAGTTGGTTAAACATTATTGCCAAAAATACTTGGTTCCCATGACATTTCCTGCAACTCTCTTCTCAAATACCTACAGTTTTTAGACTATGCACTAACGGCTACTTATGAGTGCCGATGCTGCAAGCCGGAGCAACTTTAAAAATACTTGAAAACAGTCTCCAGCATCATGCAGTTCAACAACATAACCAGATAATCCTCTTGTGTGCCTCTTTAGCACATCCCAGAGAGATCTCCTGTCATCATTTCTCAAAGTAAAGCTATACACGATCCCTCAGGGTATTACACAGTTCCTGAACTCTAGACAAACTAAACCAGACTGAGGTCCCCTCAGGTGGCTATGTGCACCTTCAGAGGCTCTAGATGAGGAAAAGGGTCTTCAGCCAGCAGACCGCCTCTAGTCCTTTTTCCTCCCAGATAGAGCCAACAGCATGCCACGAGGTACACTGCTTCCTCCTCCAAGGTTGTACCAAGTGCCACAAATTCCAAAAGCCATTCAACCAGCTGGCAGGCAAGGGAGGCAGGTGTTATAGTCATTAGTTTTTTTCCCATGGAGAGGGTAGCTGAGGTAGAGAGAGATCAAGGACTATGTTTTGCAGCCAGTGACGTATTGCTCCTAAATCTTTCTAGTACTTTAAAAAAAAAGCCTGTCAAGATTAGATAAACCACCACAGTTTATTTTAAAAAAAAAGAAAAAAATATCTCCTAGATTTAAGATCACTGCCTCATAGGGCTAATCTTTTCTTTTATTCTCTCCTGCTTCATTCAGGCCACTAATGCTGTTATCAGAGGCAGCTATCTGCTGACCCAGTGACAACATTTGTCTCAAGATCTCTGTAGAACTGAGGATCCAGAAATAACTCATAAAGCAGACTGGGCCTGATCTCTCCAAAAGCAGAATAATCATATACATAAAAGCAGTGGCTATCTGAAGGAGCGTAGACTCTAGTTTCAGTTTTGCTAGAAGTGACCTTTGGGACTCCATTCATCTCACCATAAAAGCAGGGAGCAGCTGACAGTCTTAATATTGGGTGTTTGCACCGTGGCAGCACTAGAGTCACCGAGGCATCTGCTACACAATGGCACAGTCAGGGAAAAAGTGAGCATAAAGCAAGACATGCACGGTCCAAGTTCTGGATTTCCCTTTAGTGGTCAGCTTCCAACAAGCCAAGAACACGTTACTTCTAAAAAAATTTCCTGTCCCCTGCTTCATAGATCTCCGTAACAGTTCACAAATTCCTAGCCAAGACTGCTCCAAGTAAGCAGCATCTTCATGACAGCTCTTCAGTCAGTGCAAGACAGTAATGGAACACTAGCCCTATTCTTCAAAAAAAAAGGGCTTGTTTTTTATATTTTAATATCCACATATATTTCCTCCAGTATAGGCCTTGTATTGCAAAGAATTATTGAGCCTGAGAGCATTAATGTGGCATTTACCAGTACTTTCCTCCCCATTTATATAAATAACAGTAGTTGGATATCCAGGAAGTTTAAAAAAATAGTTACGTTAACAGAAACTTCAAACTTACTTTCCTCAGACTTAAGCCTTTCCTTAAACTTACTTCAGCCCCACACTGGTTATACCCACACCAAGCTGAGCCAGGCATACAGAGCTAAGAGAGGACAAAAAACATGTTTATCTACAGAAAACATGATGCCCTTTTCAACACAGAACAAAGCTACCACCTCGGCAACTGTTTTGCAGAAACAGCCCACCTAAGATACACCAGAAAAAGTGACATTTGAATTTGGTTGGAAAGAGGAGATGCAAGAGCCATGCCACAAAGCTCCAGAGGATCGGTTCAAAACACCAAGGACGATACAGCGCACAAGCGCCTTCTTACCAATAGCCAAACGAGTTGGTTTCTTCCTTGGGGGGTCCCCAGCACTAGAGTTGCTGTCTTCTTCCTTCTGTTTTGTTGAGGAAAAAATAGGGAAATAGAGTTAGGGGGATAGGCAAGCTGTGGCAAGCTTTGAGGACTGAAATTAAGCTACTCTGAAAACAGAAATAGCGTGGGCAATCCACACAACAATTCAGCATAAGCAGAACTGAAGAACTGATGTACCTCGATTCGCCAAGAAAAACATCAGTTTTATTTGAGGAGGGAAACCTCTGTAACTCACTGAAGACAGAGACATAGCGCAGCGCTCAATTTTAGAACAAGCTTGATCGTCTGTATTTTTATTTTCTTACTGGTTTACGTGTTCGTTTGAGGTGCAGGTAGACCCGCTGGCCTGTTTTCTGATAGTGCTTTTCCACGTATTGCTTCCCGAAGCCCAGGAACGTGTTCATGCAGATATACAAGCCGCCATCCGACTCCTGGAAGGAAGGAGGGATAACAACTGAAGGGAGGCGGTAAAGAATGCCACTCCAACTGCTAGGATAGGCACAGACTTACCCCCAGTAACACTATTACTATTCATTAAACCGCGACTACAGTTCATTCCTACCTAACAGCCACTTAGGAGCTGGTCGGAAATAAGATGGCAAGACGCAGCCTGGCCGTCCCTGAAGAACCAGTACTCCCATCGGGATGATGTATTTAACACCCTACTTGCCTGTTCCTTTATGGTAGGATGCTACTGAATCAGGAAAGCCCGAGTGAGATTCCTCAGCAGCTTATCTAGTAAAAAGGTCCTTGGCAGGCACAGCTGACAATGTTCAGAGTACAGCACAGTCGTTACCAACAGAGCCATGCCACCTCAGTCTGAAAGCATAACTCTCAGCGCCACAGGGAATGTTGCCAAACTACAGCACGAGGAAGGTTAAGAGACCACAGTTTATTTTTGCTGCTGCCTTCAAAAAAGCTTGTGAGTAGCTCCAAAACAGATACGGAATGAGCTCTCCCCATCCCACAAGCACCTGGAAAACGCCACGCTTCTTCCTCAGAGCTACCCTTTTACATCAAATAGGCGAGAGACCCGCTGGAAAAAGAGGGAACCACTAAGAAGCTCTCAGCCTGCTTCCCAGCGTTGAGCAGCTGGGGCAGTCAGTGCGGGGAGCGTATGGGCAGGCATCGCCGTGGGGCCTGGGGAGGGAAGGAGTCCCCATCCCACAAGCACCTGGAAAACGCCACGCTTCTTCCTCAGAGCTACCCTTTTACATCAAATAGGCGAGAGACCCGCTGGAAAAAGAGGGAACCACTAAGAAGCTCTCAGCCTGCTTCCCAGCGTTGAGCAGCTGGGGCAGTCAGTGCGGGGAGCGTATGGGCAGGCATCGCCGTGGGGCCTGGGGAGGGAAGGAGGGCCAGGCTCCTCCGAAGGACCCGTATCTTCCAGCCGCAGCCCGTTTCTGCTGGTGGGCTGGGGCACGGCCCCGGCGGGGGCTCCTGCGGGGGAGGCCAAGGAGGGGGGACCTTGCCCTCCCGCCACCTGGGCCTCGCTCCCCGGGTCCGCCTAGGCCAGGAGGGAGGAGCAGGGATGCCGGCGGGGTGGGGACGGCCAGAGAAGGGACCACTGCCATCTTAATGACACAGCACCGCC